GGTGGAGTCACCATCCCTGGAGGTGTTCAAAAATGTGTAGATGTGGCACTTCAGGACATGGTTTAGCAGGCGTGGGGGTGTTGGGTTGATGGTTGGACTTGATGGACTTGGAGGTCTTTTCAAACTGTAATGATTCTATGATTCTACCAGGTTCTTTGATATGGTTTTGCAGCTTAGGTAAAAATTCTTTCCAGACCAGATGATTCAGAACTTCATTGCTTAAAGTAACAGTGCACAAGAATCTAGTAGGGATTTACCTATACCTCAAAAAAATATGAGAAATATTTCTTTCCAGCTTAAAGAAAATGGAATGTCGAGTATTTTAGTACTGAAATAGCCTTTAGGTTCTTGGCAAGACAACCAAAAGTAATACAAATTTCTGGCAATATTAAACTATCAATTCCTTCAGCAAAAGGGTACATGATTGTCAGGCAAACATCAAGCAGATTAGTGTCCTGGAGATCAGCTAGTAATTCTAAATCAAGGAAAGCACTAAACTAATTGCATAATGGGGAAAGAATCCTGCATGCTCCTCTTTGGTTAGAGGGAGGGAAAAGTTCAGAGTTTTTTCACTGAGTATTTCATTATTTAGAAGTATAAATGGTGGCCACTGTTTCTAAGAAAGCAGTGTAAGGGCTGCACTGACACTGCTGAATTGATTGTTAGGATGACAATTTTAGCAAGTTTCACTAATACAACTATATCAGTTCGCTCAATTATTTTGATCCTGGGGAAAAGAAACCTACACATTTACAACAAGGAAAAGACACAATGGCTGCTAAGCACATACTTTAAGCCTTTCAGAAACCCGCAATTACGAACAAAGGAACTAAGCTTTTCAAACAATATTTGTTACAAGCCATAATATTTTTCTGGGTATCATGCCCCTGTAGCAAGAACTGAGGCTATTTTTGGCATGAATTCAGAAATTACACTGAAGTGTGCCAGAAGCATTCATTTTACACTAAATGTAACAATACAGTCACCATAAACACATTATTTCAAGCAGGTTTCATTAGAGTGGAAAGAGACATTCACAGAAGGCATGCTAGCTGTACACATTTTACCAAGTTTGCCACTTAGTGCCACGTTTAGCAATACATCAAATCCTTCAGGGGGTAACCCTCTTTGCAGGGCAATACTTTCCACAGTAGTCAAGTGTTTCTGCAGAACACTGTTGTTTTTCAGTGAAACACGATCTTGAACTAGGAAAAAAAAAAAAAAAAGACAGACGACAAGCATAAGGACAAAACAACTTGTGAACTGGAAATGAGCTATTTTAAATTTCTCCAAACTGTCCCTACATATATCCCTTTTAGTTGGGCTCTTTACACAATAACAGAAAGAGGAAAATCTTCTAAGACATCAAAGAAATATTACAGAGTTCAGGCATTAAAGAGGGAAAACAAAAGGTAAAACTATATATTTTTAATTATTATTATTAAGAATGCAGTTTTCTTTTCTATCCTAAGGAGCTAACCTTAAGACTGTTCTCACCTTTCGCAAAGTAGCTTAAAGCTTGCTCAAGAGAGTCTTGCTTGCTGTCATTTTTCTGATCGTTAGGAGACTGAATATTCTGAACACTTTTTCCAGGGTCAATTCTCCCTCCTTTTCGCCACGCAGAGAGATCAGTTTGATTTTCATGGTGACCTTGAAGAGGCTGCTTTGGGGTCTTAGAGCTCTGTCTTCGCTGCATCTTTTCAGACTCCCAGCTGAGACTGGAGAATTTTACTCATTTGTCATGTGAGTTCCAATCCTTCATTACGAAAAGGCAAGAAAATTTGTCAACCTCCAACAGCTGAAGAACATTAGAGAGCCAATTCGCTGCAAGAAAAGAAAAATTTATTTTCCTAACAAACAGATTTTAGAGGGATCCTGCATAACGTAACAGAGTAGCTTCAGAAGTCATTTAGAGCCACCTGTCCCCAAAAAGATCAGACAATATACTCAAATACACAGACAACACTGTATCAAAGCTCCATTCTTTCTTTCATTAAAAAAGGGGAAAAGAAATTCACAAGTAAAAAGTAACAAACTCCTTTCACTTTAAAAATTATCTGATAAATTTGCATAGATTTTTGATCAAAAAAATAACCTGAAAGCTAGCAAAACATAATCAACAATTTTATTCTGAGCTTTTTTTGTGCATTATCAGTTCATTACTTGCATTGTGTACACCAATGCAATCAGTCAACAGGGCGTGATTTCCTGCAAGGTAGTGCACAGATCTTAGAGGATCGTAACACTTATCTTCCTGTTTTACAAAAACTAGATTCTTCTCTAGCCTTTCTACCTAGCAGCTAGGATTGAAAGGAAAAAAAAAGGAATTTTGATATACTTCCAAGTGAAGCACAAGAGCTACCAACACTGCCAAATTGCCTAGCTCTGGGTGAAACACAACCGTGAAAAGTGGCATTGTCTCCCCAATACGCTCAAGAGATCAACCTTTTACCCACAAAATGTGAAATTTTGCTACAATTTCCTGGATTTGGTAGAGCATTCATGCACGTCCCTGGATTGTTCAAGCATATCTTTTGCTTCCTAGATTTCCTGACACAATAAACCAGAATGATTTTCAATTCATACTCCCTCTTCAGCTTTCGCTTCCTGAAGATGTTAGAATCGTCTTTATTTTCCTGTTTGTTTGTCACTAACCTCCCTGTGCAGCACACCAAGAACAGATGTCCAGCTAGCTACGTGAAGACCTCCTCTGAAGCACACACTGATATGCACAGACAGGGCATTCACATTTACAAATGAAATCTACTGACTTCAGGAGAAACAGACTCCCTCAGCTTTAAACGACAACACCAAGCCCATCAGAACTCCCACAAACGATGCTTTTTTGCCTGATGGTGACTCACGACAACTGAGATGCTTTAAGACAGTGAAAATTTGCGATAGCGACCACAGAGCGTGGTTAGATAGACATGAGCTGGACTGAGATGTAAGAGTTGCAGAAAACTCCTAACGCTCTGGAATCCTGCTTGTTGCATCTGGAATCACCGGAGCACACTGGAAGTGGCTCAGAAAGCAGATCGAGCTAACAGTTCCCGGCTGCCACGCTCCGCAGTACAACAGCAGCTTTCTCACAGATTCCACAGCACCTGCTCTACCGGGTTTTTTTTTATTTTGCCTTGCAGGAGTTCTGCCAGAAAGGTTTGGTGGGGAAGAGAGCGCCAGCAGACCTTAACGCGGAACTCCCAGGCAGGCTGAACGCCCGTTCTTACTAACAGCGAGCCCACCACCGCGCACCCCTTCAGTACGCGACGCTTCCACACGGACATCTGGCACAAAGGTCTCTTCCCTCCTCCCCAGCCGGCGCACGCACACCCCGCTCCCTGCCG